GTCAGGTTCTCTGTCAGGTTCTCTGTCAGGTTCTCTGTCAGGTTCTCTGTCAGGTTCTCTGTCGGTTCTCTGTCAGGTTCTCTGTCAGGTTCTCTGTCAGGTTCTCTGTCGGTTCTCTGTCAGGTTCTCTGTCAGGTTCTCTGTCAGGTTCTCTGTCAGGTTCTCTGTAGGTTCTCTGTCAGGTTCTCTGTAGGTTCTCTGTCAGGTTCTCTGTCAGGTTCTCTGTCAGGTTCTCTGTCAGGTTCTCTGTCAGGTTCTCTGTCAGGCTCTCTGTCAGGTTCTCTGTCAGGTTCTCTGTCAGGTTCTCTGTCAGGTTCTCTGTCGGTTCTCTGTCAGGTTCTCTGTCAGGTTCTCTGTCGGTTCTCTGTAGGTTTCTGTCAGGTTCTCTGTCAGGTTCTCTGTCGGTTCTCTGTCAGGTTCTCTGTCAGGTTCTCTGTCAGGTTCTCTGTCAGGTTCTCTGTCAGGTTCTCTATAGGTTCTCTGTCAGGTTCTCTGTAGGTTCTCTGTCAGGTTCTCTGTCAGGTTCTCTGTAGGTTCTCTGTCAGGTTCTCTGTAGGTTCTCTGTCAGGTTCTCTGTCAGGTTCTCTGTCAGGTTCTCTGTCAGGTTCTCTGTCAGGTTCTCTGTCAGGTTCTCTGTCAGGCTCTCTGTCAGGTTCTCTGTCAGGTTCTCTGTCGGTTCTCTGTAGGTTCTCTGTCAGGTTCTTTGTCAGGTTCTCTGTCGGTTCTCTGTCAGGTTCTCTGTCAGGTTCTCTGTCAGGTTCTCTGTAGGTTCTCTGTCAGGTTCTCTGTCAGGTTCTCTGTCGGTTCTCTGTCAGGTTCTCTGTCAGGTTCTCTGTCAGGTTCTCTGTAGGTTCTCTGTCAGGTTCTCTGTCAGGTTCTCTGTCTGGTTCTCTGTAGGTTCTCTGTCAGGTTCTCTGTCAGGTTCTCTGTCAGGTTCTCTGTCAGGTTCTCTGTCAGGTTCTCTGTCAGGTTCTCTGTCAGGTTCTCTGTCAGGTTCTCTGTCAGGTTCTCTGTCAGCTGAGGTCGAGTTGTTTTAATTTACATTGAGTTCTATGGGGAAAATTTCTGGGTTGCCCACGTGAATTTAGTTTGGTCTAGTCTGCAGTACCGCGAGAATCCCCCGAGCACATGGTCGGCACTAGATCATAAACGGAATCGAGACAAAAACTGAAGTAACAATCCTACTTTCTAATTAGTTTTAGACTAAAAAGTCCTTAAATGGTGACTGGTTTAGTTTTAGGCGTCTGAGTAAGATGGTTAAGGTTAGGGTTAAGGTGGTCTGAGTGAGATGGTTAAGGTTAGGGTTAAGGTGGTCTGAGTAAGATGGTTAAGGTTAGGGTTAAGGTGGTCTGAGTAAGATGGTTAAGGTTAGGGTTAAGGTGGTCTGAGTAAGATGGTTAAGGTTAGGGTTAAGGTGGTCTGAGTAAGATGGTTAAGGTTAGGGTTAAGGTGGCTGAGTAAGATGGTTAAGGTGGTCTGAGTAAGATGGTTAAGGTTAAGGTTAAGGTGGTCTGAGTAAGATGGTTAAGGTTAGGGTTAAGGTGGTCTGAGTAAGATGGTTAAGGTTAGGGTTAAGGTGGTCAGAGTAAGATGGTTAAGGTTAGGGTTAAGGTGGGTCTGAGTCAGATGGTTAAGGTTAGGGTTAAGGTGGTCTGAGTAAGATGGTTAAGGTTAGGGTTAAGGTGGTCTGAGTAAGATGGTTAAGGTTAGGGTTAAGGTGGTCTGAGTAAGATGGTTAAGGTTAGGGTTAAGGTGGTCTGAGTAAGATGGTTAAGGTTAGGGTTAAGGTGGTCTGAGTAAGATGGTTAAGGTTAGGGTTAAGGCGGTCTGAGTAAGATGGTTAAGGTTAGGGTTAAGGTGGTCTGAGTAAGATGGTTAAGGTTAGGGTTAAGGTGGTCTGAGTAAGATGGTTAAGGTTAGGGTTAAGGTGGTCTGAGTAAGATGGTTAAGGTTAGGGTTAAGGTGGTCTGAGTAAGATGGTTCAGGTTAGGGTTAAGGTGGTCTGAGTAAGATGGTTAAGGTTAGGGTTAAGGTGGTCTGAGTAAGATGGTTAAGGTTAGGGTTAAGGTGGTCTGAGTAAGATGGTTAAGGTTAGGGTTAAGGTGGTCTGAGTAAGATGGTTAAGGTTAGGGTTAAGGCGGTCTGAGTAAGATGGTTAAGGTTAGGGTTAAGGTGGTCTGAGTAAGATGGTTAAGGTTAGGGTTAAGGTGGTCTGAGTAAGATGGTTAAGGTTAGGGTTAAGGTGGTCTGAGTAAGATGGTTAAGGTTAGGGTTAAGGTGGTCTGAGTAAGATGGTTAAGGTTAGGGTTAAGGTGGTCTGAGTAAGATGGTTAAGGTTAGGGTTAAGGTGGGTCTGAGTAAGATGGTTAAGGTTAGGGTTAAGGTGGTCTGAGTAAGATGGTTAAGGTTAGGGTTAAGGTGGGTCTGAGTAAGATGGTTAAGGTTAGGGTTAAGGTGGGTCTGAGTAAGATGGTTAAGGTTAGGGTTAAGGTGGTCTGAGTAAGATGGTTAAGGTTAGGGTTAAGGTTCCCGAGGTGGGGTCAGAGGTCACAAAGACAATGTTAGGGTCTGTGTGGGGTCAGAGGTCACAGAGACAAGGTTAGGGTCTGTGTGGGGTCAGAGGTCACAGAGACAGGGTTAGGGTCTGAGTGGGGTCAGAGGTCACAGACAGGGTTAGGGTCTGTGTGGGGTCAGAGGTCACAGACAGGGTTAGGGTCTGTGTGGGGTCAGAGGTCACAGAGAAACAGCAGATCTTTACCTTGACGTAAGGAACACGGTTCTTGTCCTCGTGCACGGACAGGTTGGTCTTAGTCACTGTTGGAACACACTCAGTATAAACACACACACACACTCAGTATAAACACACACACACACACAGTATAAACACACACACATACACACAGTATAAACATACACACACACTCAGTATAAACACACGCACACACTCAGTATAAACACACACAGTATAAACATACACACACTCAGTATAAACACACACACACTCAGTATAAACACACACACACACACACAGTATAAACATACACACACACTCAGTATAAACACACACACACACACACTCAGTATAAACACACACACACACACACAGTATAAACATACACACACACACAGTATAAACACACACACACACACACACTCAGTATAAACACACACACACACACACACTCAGTATAAACACACACACACTCAGTATAAACACACACACACACACTCAGTATAAACACACACACACACACTCAGTATAAACACACAGACACACTCAGAATAAACACACACACACACTCAGAATAAACACACACACACACTCAGTATAAACATACACACACTCTCAGTATAAACACACTCAGTATAAACACACACACACACTCAGTATAAACACACACACACAGTATAAACACACACACACACACACTCAGTATAAACACACACACACACTCAGTATAAACACACACACACACAGTATAAACACACACACACACAGTATAAACACACACACACACTCAGTATAAACACACACACACACACACAGTATAAACACACACACACACACAGTATAAACAAACACACACACAGTATAAACACACACACACTCAGTTTAAACACACACACACTCAATATAAACACACACACACACACACAGTATAAACACACACACACACACACAGTATAAACACACACACACAGTATAAACACACACACACACAGTATAAACACACACACACACACAGTATAAACACACACACACACACAGTATAAACACACACACACACACACAGTATAAACACACACAAACACACAGTATAAACACACACACACAGTATAAACACACACACAGTATAAACACACACACACACAGTATAAACACACACACACACACACACACACACACAGTATAAACACACACACAAACACACAGTATAAACATACACACACAGTATAAACACACACACACTAACCGTCCAGGAGGTCACGGATCTTGTCCATGTAGATCTCGAAGTACGACACCTGTGGAAAGAACGACACAAACATCAGATTTATTCTGTTTGTCGACCCCCTGTCCGAGGTCACGACCCCCTGTCCGAGGTCCCAACCCCTGTCCGAGGTCACGACCCCCTGTCCGAGGTCACGACCCCCTGTCCGAGGTCCCAACCCCCTGTCCGAGGTCACGACCCCCTGTCCGAGGTCACGACCCCCTGTCCGAGGTCCCAACCCCTGTCCGAGGTCACAACCCCCTGTCCGAGGTCCCGACCCCCTGTCCGAGGTCCCAACCCCCTGTCCGAGGTCACGACCCCCTGTCCGAGGTCCCGACCCCCTGTCCGAGGTCCCAACCCCCTGTCCGAGGTCCCAACCCCTGTCCGAGGTCACGACCCCCTGTCCGAGGTCACGACCCCCTGTCCGAGGTCCCAACCCCCTGTCCGAGGTCACGACCCCCTGTCCGAGGTCACGACCCCCTGTCCGAGGTCCCGACCCCTGTCCGAGGTCACGACCCCCTGTCCGAGGTCCCAACCCCTGTCCGAGGTCACAACCCCCTGTCCGAGGTCACGACCCCCTGTCCGAGGTCCCGACCCCTGTCCGAGGTCACGACCCCCTGTCCGAGGTCCCGACCCCTGTCCGAGGTCACGACCCCCTGTCCGAGGTCACGACCCCCTGTCCGAGGTCCCAACCCCCTGTCCGAGGTCCCGACCCCCTGTCCGAGGTCACGACCCCCTGTCCGAGGTCCCGACCCCTGTCCGAGGTCACGACCCCCTGTCCGAGGTCCCGACCCCCTGTCCGAGGTCACGACCCCCTGTCCGAGGTCCCGACCCTTGTCCGAGGTCACAACCCCCTGTCCGAGGTCCCGACCCCCTGTCCGAGGTCACGACCCCCTGTCCGAGGTCCCGACCCTTGTCCGAGGTCACGACCCCCTGTCCGAGGTCACGACCCCCTGTCCGAGGTCCCGACCCCTGTCCGAGGTCACGACCCCCTGTCCGAGGTCCCGACCCCTGTCCGAGGTCCCGACCCCTGTCCGAGGTCCCGACCCCCTGTCCGAGGTCCCAACCCCCTGTCCGAGGTCCCGACCCCTGTCCGAGGTCCCGACCCCCTGTCCGAGGTCCCGACCCCCTGTCCGAGGTCCCAACCCCTGTCCGAGGTCACGACCCCTGTCCGAGGTCCCGACCCCTGTCCGAGGTCACGACCCCCTGTCCGAGGTCCCAACCCCCTGTCCGAGGTCCCGACCCCCTGTCCGAGGTCCCAACCCCCTGTCCGAGGTCACGACCCCCTGTCCGAGGTCCCAACCCCCTGTCCGAGGTCACGACCCCCTGTCCGAGGTCCCGACCCCCTGTCCGAGGTCCCGACCCCCTGTCCGAGGTCCCGACCCCCTGTCCGAGGTCACGACCCCCTGTCCGAGGTCCCGACCCCCTGTCCGAGGTCACGACCCCCTGTCCGAGGTCACGACCCCCTGTCCGAGGTCCCAACCCCCTGTCCGAGGTCACGACCCCCTGTCCGAGGTCCCAACCCCCTGTCCGAGGTCACGACCCCCTGTCCGAGGTCCCAACCCCCTGTCCGAGGTCACGACCCCCTGTCCGAGGTCCCAACCCCCTGTCCGAGGTCCCGACCCCCTGTCCGAGGTCCCGACCCCTGTCCGAGGTCACGACCCCCTGTCCGAGGTCCCGACCCCTGTCCGAGGTCACGACCCCCGCCTGTCCGAGGTCCCGACCCCTGTCCGAGGTCCCGACCCCTGTCCGAGGTCACGACCCCCTGTCCGAGGTCCCGACCCCCTGTCCGAGGTCCCGACCCCCTGTCCGAGGTCCCGACCCTTGTCCGAGGTCACGACCCCCTGTCCAAGGTCCCGACCCCCTGTCCGAGGTCCCGACCCCTGTCCGAGGTCCCGACCCCTGTCCGAGGTCACGACCCCCTGTCCGAGGTCCCGACCCCTGTCCGAGGTCACGACCCCCTGTCCGAGGTCCCGACCCCTGTCCGAGGTCCCGACCCCTGTCCGAGGTCCCGACCCCTGTCCGAGGTCCCAACCCCCTGTCCGAGGTCCCGACCCCCTGTCCGAGGTCCCGACCCCTGTCCGAGGTCACGACCCCCTGTCCGAGGTCCCGACCCCTGTCCGAGGTCACGACCCCCTGTCCGAGGTCCCGACCCCTGTCCGAGGTCACGACCCCCTGTCCGAGGTCACGACCCCCTGTCCGAGGTCCCGACCCCTGTCCGAGGTCACGACCCCCTGTCCGAGGTCCCCGACCCCCTGTCCGAGGTCCCGACCCCCTGTCCGAGGTCCCGACCCCTGTCCGAGGTCACGACCCCCTGTCCGAGGTCCCGACCCCTGTCCGAGGTCCCGACCCCCTGTCCGAGGTCCCGACCCCTGTCCGAGGTCACGACCCCCTGTCCGAGGTCCCGACCCCTGTCCGAGGTCACGACCCCCTGTCCGAGGTCCCGACCCCCTGTCTGAGGTCCCGACCCCCTGTCTGGGGTCCCGAACTTTTGTCTGAGTCACCCTCACTCACTCAAAAGGCTAAATGCTAAAGCTAGGCTAAATGCTAAAGCTAGGCTAAATGCTAAAGCTAGGCTAAATGCTAAAGGCCTCACTCACTCGGGCTCATTACAAACGTCACGGTAAACTCAGATCCAATGGTTTCAATCAAAGGAGTTAGCCCCTCCCACCTGTTCACGGAGTCAATGGAGACAATCCAGACCTTAGTACCAGATGAAATGAGTACTATAGTGTGGTAAGACCAGGCTACTGCTGATCTGACGTGAATCAACAAATATTGATTTAATTTACTGAAAATCACTTTTTTAAAGTAAAAAAATATTACAAATGTGTTTTGTTGAAATGTAAACTGTTTCCTGTGTCTTTGTCCCGTCTCAAATGAATCGCTCTGGTGGGAAAAGTACAGTCGGCTTCAATCTGAGACTTGAACTCGGACTCGGACTCAGACTTGGTCTCAGTCTCGGTCTTGGTCTTTGACTCGGACCTTGATGTGGAACTCCAGGTTCTCGTCCATGGCAAAGATGTGGTTGAAGATGTCCTCTGCGATGCGAGGGATGATGCCCATCTGGTGAGGGTCATGGAGCTTCCCCTGGAACACAGGGGTCAGAGGTCAGGGGTCAGGGGTCAGAGGTGAGAGGTCAGGGGTGAGGGGTCAGAGGACAGAGGTCAGAGGACAGGGGTTAAGGGTCAGGGGTGTGAGGTCAGGGGTCAGAGGTCATGGGTCAGATGTGTGAAGTCAGAGGTCAGGGGTGTGAGGTCAGAGGTCATGGGTCAGATGTGTGAGGTCAGGGGTGTGAGGTCAGGGGTCAGAGGTCAGGGGTTGTACCTCCATGGTGTGGGTCTTTCCAGAGGCGGTTTGTCCGTACGCAAAGATGGTGCCATTGTATCCACCCAGAACATCTGAGAGAGACACACACACACATAGGTTTATCAAGGTGTGTGTCTGTGTGTGTATGTGTGCGTGTGTGTATTTGTGTGTTGTGTGTGTGTGTGTGCGATTGTGCTAGTATGTGTGTGTGTGTGTTTCTGTGTGTGTGTGTGTGTGTGTGTGTCTGTGTGTCTGTGTGTGTGTGTGTGTGTGTATTTGTGTGTTGTGTGTGTGTGTGCGATTGTGCTAGTATGTGTGTGTGTGTGTGTGTCTGTGTGTGTGTGTGTCTATGTGTGTGTGTGTGTGTCTGTGTGTGTGTGTGTCTATGTGTGTGTGTGTGTGTGTCTGTGTGTGTGTGTGTGTGTGTGTCTTACCCTTGACGATCTGCTTGGCGCAGGTGTTGTAAACCTGTTCCTGAGTTGTGTTTGTGGGAAACACTCGGTCGAAGACGTACGACTTTCCCTGAAACAGATCAAAGAGCCCTGTGAGTCACTATCTGACCCTTTGGGCTGAGAGCTGATTGGCTGAGAGCTGATTGGCTGAGAGCTGATTGGCTGACAGAAGGTGGTCCTCTCTGAGAGCTGATTGGCTGACAGAAGGTGGTCCTCTCTGAGAGCTGATTGGCTGACAGAGGGTGGTCCTCTGAGAGCTGATTGGCTGAGAGAGGGTGGTCCTCTGAGAGCTGATTGGCTGACAGAGGGTGGTCCTCTGAGAGCTGATTGGCTGAGAGAGGGTGGTCCTCTGAGAGCTGATTGGCTGAGAGAGGGTGGTCCTCTGAGAGCTGAGACAGGTCCTCTCTTTGTTTTAAAGCCAGTGTGGGTGACGTCAGTTGGTGTGTGTGATGTCAGTTGGTGTGTGTGACGTCAGTTGGTGTGTGTGATGTCAGTTGGTGTGTGTGATGTCAGTTGGTGTGTGTGACGTCAGTTGGTGTGTGTGACGTCAGTTGATGTGTGTGATGTCAGTTGGTGTATGTGACGTCAGTTGGTGTGTGTGACGTCAGTTGGTGTGTGTGACGTCAGTTGGTGTGTGTGATGTCAGTTGATGTGTGTGATGTCAGTTGGTGTGTGTGACGTCAGTTGGTGTGTGTGACGTCAGTTGATGTGTGTGATGTCAGTTGGTGTATGTGACGTCAGTTGGTGTGTGTGACGTCAGTTGGTGTGTGTGACGTCAGTTGGTGTGTGTCTGTGTCAGTTGATGTGTGTGACATCAGTTGGTGTGTGTGACGTCAGTTGGTGTGTGTGACGTCAGTTGATGTGTGTGATGTCAGTTGGTGTGTGTCTGTGTCAGTTGATGTGTGTGACATCAGTTGGTGTGTGTGACGTCAGTTGGTGTGTGTGACGTCAGTTGATGTGTGTGACATCAGTTGGTGTGTGTGACGTCAGTTGGTGTGTGTGACGTCAGTTGGTGTGTGTGACGTCAGTTGGTGTGTGTGACGTCAGTTGATGTGTGTGATGTCAGTTGGTGTGTGTCTGTGTCAGTTGGTGTGTGTGACGTCAGTTGGTGTGTGTGATGTCAGTTGGTGTGTGTGATGTCAGTTGGTGTGTGTGATGTCAGTTGGTGTGTGTGACGTGCGTCAGTCTGATATACAGTGCCTTGCGAAAGTATTCGGCCCCCTTGAACCTTTCAACATTTCGCCACATTTCAGACTTCAAACATAAAGATATAAAAATGTATTTTTTTGTCATTTGTGGAAAATTTAAACTTTTTTAACAAATAAAAAACTGAAAAGTGGGGCGTGCAATATTATTGGGCCCCTTTACTTTCAGTGCAGCAAACTCAGTCCAGAAGTTCAGTGAGGATCTTTGAATGATCCAATGTTGTCCTAAATGACTGATGATGATAAATAGAATGCACCTGTGTGTAATCAAGTCTCCGTATAAATGCACCTGCTCTTTGATAGTCTCAGGGTTCTGTTTAAAGCACAGAGAGAACCATGAAGACAAAGGAACACACCAGGCAGGTCCGAGATACTGTTGTGGAGAAGTTTAAAGCCGGATTTGGATACAAAAAGATTTCCCAAGCTTTTAACATCTCAAGGAGCACCGTGCAAGCAATTATATTGAAATGGAAGGAGTATCAGACCACTGCAAATCTACCAAGACCCGGCCGTCCCTCCAAACTTTCATCTCAAACAAGAAGACTGATCAGAGATGCAGCCAAGAGGCCCATGATCACTCTGGATGAACTGCAGATAACTACAGCTGAGGTGGGGATGGTGTGTTCAGGGTGATGAGCTGTGTGGCTTTTACCCCAAACATATCGTTTTGCATTGTGGCCAAAAAGTTTGATTTTGGTTTCATCTGACCAGAGCACCTTCTTCCACATGTTTGGTGTGTCTCCCAGGTGGCTTGTGGCAAACTTTAAACCAGACTTTTTATGGATATCTTTGAGAAATGGCTTTCTTCTTGCCACTCTTCCATAAAGGCCAGATTTGTGCAGTGCACGACTGATTGTTGTCCTATGGACAGACTCTCCCACTTTTTTAAAAAGTTTAAATTATCCAACAAATTTCATTCCACTTCACGATTGTAAGTAATTATTTTTGTGTCCCACTTGTTGTTGATTCATGACAAAAAATTAAAATTGTATATCTTTGTTTGAAGCCTGAAATGTGGCGAAATGTTGAAAGGTTCAAGGGGGCCGAATACTTTCGCAAGGCACTGTAAACCCATCCAACTCTCACAGTATTCTGGTGACATCTAGTGGTTTAAAATGAAATTACATGAGTCATTCTGAGATTATTGAGTGTGTCTTAGGTTCAGGTGTGTAGCTCTACAATTATCTCAGTGTGTAAACAAAGGAATGAGACTTTCTGGTGTAAACTATTGCTTTAAGCAGCAATGACAACTGTGTTTTTTTTTGTGTGTGTGACAAGTGAGCTGTCAATCACAGCCCAGACCACGCCCACCTCTAAGCCCCCCTTCTTGTCCCTTGGTCCTCCAGGCGACGCCCTTTTTAGAGAAACATTTCAAATGTTTATGTGGGCGGAGTCAGGCTGGTCACAGGTGTTTAGTCGCTCTTGAAGCTCACGAGGCTAATGAAGCTAACGAAGCTAACAAGGCTAATGAAGCTAACGAGGCTAAAGCCTAGTGTATACGCGCTGCTTACGTTAGCGGTTGCGGTGGACCTACGCACGCACAATTTAATTTATACTCCTTGCGGAGTTGTGAGGACAATGTTGTAATTCCACAACCAACCACACGATGGCGATCTCACAGGAGTTGCATGAGATACCAAAGCATTCTCATTTACGCTGCTACTTTCTCCTCTTCAGAACAAAAACATGAACAAACAAAGCTGTTTGAGATCATTCCATGTGTTTCTACTGTAGGTTTATGTGATAGTTCTATGGACTCATTATTTCTGAACTCATTTAACTGTGATGCTGTGAATAAAGACACAGTTCTGTTGGAAACATAGTTATTATTAAAGTGTATTCATCACAAACAGGAAACAAAAAGTGGTAAATATCTGAGACAAACATGAACGGTTTATAAGTGCAGGAGGAAAGCAACAGACGCAGCTACGACTCAAACAAGACAGGAACAGTTTATAAGTTATATATATGTTAGATATAAGTTATATATATGTTAGATATAAGTTATATATATGTTAGATATAAGTTATATATATGTTAGATATAAGTTATATATATGTTAGATATAAGTTATATATATGTTAGATATAAGTTATATATATGTTAGATATAAGTTATATATATGTTAGATATAAGTTATATATATGTTAGATATAAGTTATATATATGTTAGATATAAGTTATATATATGTTAGATATAAGTTTTATATATGTTAGATATAAGTTATATATATGTTAGATATAAGTTATATATATGTTAGATATAAGTTATATATATGTACAGTGCCTTGTGAAAGTATTCGGCCCCCTTGAACCTTTCAACATTTCGCCACATTTCAGTCTTCAAACATAAAGATATAAAAATTTTATTTTTTGTCATGAATCAACAACAAGTGGGACACAATCGTGAAGTGGAACGAAATGTATTGGATAATTTAAACTTTTTTAACAAATAAAAAACTGAAAAGTGGGGCGTGCAATATTATTGGGCCCCTTTACTTTCAGTGCAGCAAACTCAGTCCAGAAGTTCAGTGAGGATCTTTGAATGATCCAATGTTGTCCTAAATGACTGATGATGATAAATAGAATGCACCTGTGTGTAATCAAGTCTCCGTATAAATGCACCTGCTCTTTGATAGTCTCAGGGTTCTGTTTAAAGCGCAGAGAGAACCATGAAGACAAAGGAACACACCAGGCAGGTCCGAGATACTGTTGTGGAGAAGTTTAAAGCCGGATTTGGATACAAAAAGATTTCCCAAGCTTTAAACATCTCAAGGAGCACTGTGCAAGCAATTATATTGAAATGGAAGGAGTATCAGACCACTGCAAATCTACCAAGACCCGGCTGTCCCTCCAAACTTTCATCTCAAACAAGGAAAAGACTGATCAGAGATGCAGCCAAGAGGCCCATGATCACTCTGGATGAACTGCAGGTTTTATCTGTGTTTAAAAGTGTTTGTGATGCTATGTTTTAGTCAAAGATACAATGTTATATTATAGCCGCAAGCAGCAATGAACGCCCTCTCCTTCACCAAACCACTGGAACCTGGACCATGAGAGGTTCAGAGGACGTGGCAACACAGGAACGTCAGAGCCGACTGAAAAACGTTGAACTTGATGAAAATCGTCTTAAGGCTCCAGCGAACGTGGTGATGTCACATGAAGTTATGGATGAAACTGTAAAGAGCTTTCTGTCCAATCACCACCTTAGTCTCAGTGGGTCCTGGTCCTGGCACTGGTCCTGGTCTAGTTTTCACATGTATCTCTGGCCTCTGCGACATCCTTAGATCTTTCAGACAGAAAAGTAGAGAGGACCACCCTCTCTCAGCCAATCAGCTCTCAGCCAATCAGCTCTCAGCCCAAAGGCAGAGTGTGTCACATGTGTGTAGGTCACGTGTTGTTGAACAGCATCTGTCTCTGGATCCAATCAAATATAATGAACACGAGTTTAATGACAAATGGATTCTCCCCGCGGCACACGCTGCAACTCCTGCTTCATACTGAGCTCACACGTCGTCATCACAGAGGGATGAAACTTTACTTTGTTTAGAAAAGAAAAGAAGTATGACTATTAAAATAACAGATCAGTTTTAGACAGTCTCCATCCACAGGGTTAAACTACTGTAGCCACAGCTGCCCTGGGGCACTTCCCCAGACGTCTCCCATCACAGCACTAACCAGTCTCTGCCCTGCTTAGCTCCTGAGACCTACACACTAAACCCAGACCAGACAAATTTCAAACAAAAAAACAGTGACATCACAAACGTCTTACCCCGGTGTCAGACTGTACACAGAGGACTATGCTAACGCTAGCTCGATGCAGTCTGAAGTGCTCATGGACAAAGTCTGTCTCCTCTCTCCTCAGGAACATGTGACATCATCTGATGTTGTCTTTGTCCTGATATGACCATATAAGGACTGACCCATCAGAGGCCTTCACGTCTGCTCCAGTTCACATCACTGTGACATCACCACAGTGTGACATCACCACAGTGTGACATCACCACAGTGTGACATCACCACAGTGTGACATCACCACAGTGTGACATCACCACTACTTCAATAATTACATTTTATTTATAATAATACATAGGTTTTATACAGAGATCTACGGCCTCAGTCCTCAGTCCTGGGTCTACGGCCTCAGTCCTGGTCTACGGCCTCTGTCCTGGGTCTACGGCCTCAGTCCTGGGTCTACGGCCTCAGTCCTGGGTCTACGGCCTCTGTCCTGGGTCTACGGCCTCTGTCCTAGGTCTACGGCCTCAGTCCTGGGTCTATGGCCTCAGTCCTGGGTCTACAGCCTCAGTCTACAGCCTCAGTCCTGGGTCTACAGCCTCAGTCTACAGCCTCAGTCCTGGGTCTACGGCCTCAGTCTTGGGTCTACAGTCTCAGTCTTGGGTCTACAGTCTCAGTCCTGGGTCTACGGCCTCAGTCTTGGGTCTACAGCCTCAGTCTTGGGTCTACGGCCTCAGTCCTGAGTCTAAAGCCTCAGTCCTGAGTCTACAGCCTCAGTCCTGGGTCTACAGCCTCCGTCTTGGGTCCTAGGTCTACAGTCTCAGTCTTGAGACAGAATCCTCTTCACACAGAGCTCTGCTGATGAAGAGGAGGCTGAAGTGCGAGGCCTGTGTGCTCCTCCTGCTCGCGTGCGCAGTAGGCCAAACCCAACAACAACACGTCACACGCACACATACACACACATACACACACATGCACACGCACACGTACACACACACGCACACGCACTCACCGCTATCTGCACTGTGTCGTCTCCCTGGAACTTGGCGATGAACTGGTCTCCCCGCAGGATCTCGGACTGGTTCAAAGGCCGGAAGCGGCACAGCACTTTGATGTTGCACTCGGACACAACGTCAGCCATGACTCAGGAGAGAGATACAAACACAGGCCTTCTGCAGCACCCGCGGGGAATCCTACCTCGGTGGTTGCTCGGATGGGCTGCGGAGGGTGGCGTGTCCTGCGGAGGGTGGCGTGTCCTGCGGGGGGTGGCGTGTCCTGCGGGGTCGGGTGCGTCTGGGTGGATGCGCAGTTGTCGCAGAGGATGGAGTCGCGGCGGTTTTGTCGTGACGTTGCAGGCGCAGAATCTACATAATGGTTTAGATCCGGAGGAGGCGGGTTCGGGCTGGAGCCGTGGGTCGGTTCGGTTCGGAGGAGATTCTGTGTCTGAAGGACGCGGTGCTCCGGAGGCTCTGATGCTGATGCTGCTGATGCTGATGATGCTGCTGCTGCTGAGGTGGAGCTGCGCTCTGAGGGCCGCCCTCACACGCCAACACCAACGGAAAGAGACTTGTTCAAGCCACAGTCACGTGAAGAGCCCTGAGGGTCACTCTCTGACGCGTGGAGCTGATTGGCTGAGTGAGGGTGGTCCTCTTTTCACTTTTCTGTCTGAAAAAGCTAAAGAGACAAACATGTGAACACACGCACACACACTAACACGCACACACACACAGACTAACACGCACGCACGTACACATACAGACTAACACGCACACAGACTAACACACACACACATACAGACTAACACGCACACACACACAGACTAACACACGCACACACACTAACACGCACACACACACAGACTAACACGCACGCACGTACACATACAGACTAACACGCACACAGACTAACACGCACACACACACACACACACACACACAGACTAACACGCACACACACACACACAGACTAACACACACACACACACACGCACACACACACAGACTAACACACGCACACACACTAACACGCACACACACACAGACTAACACGCACGCACGTACACATACAGACTAACACGCACACAGACTAACACGCACACACACACACACACACACACACAGACTAACACGCACACACACACACACAGACTAACACACACACACACACACACAGACTAACACACACACACACACACACAGACTAACACGCACACAGACACACACTAACACGCACGCACGTACACACAGACTAACACGCACACAGACTAACACACACACACACAAACAGACTAACACGCACACACACACGGGTGCTATAGGGCCGTGTGAGCGCGGTCCTGAGACCGCAGCTCCAGGCCCGCTGCTGCGCCCTCTGTTGGCGGACGGGGAAGGGCGTGGTCCGCATCATGTTTCTCCTCCTCTTCATCAGCAGCATCCGCCTGCAGCTGCGTCACCGGAACAGCGCCTACGTCACTTCCGCTGACAGTGTTATAATAATGACCATAGTAAAGTCCTCTGAGCCTTAAAGCTGAGGTCCCTAACTTCATCTTCTCATAAATAAGACATTTGTTCAAACGCCAAGAGTATGTGTGTTTGTGTGTGTATACATGTTTGTGTGTGTGTATATACATGTTTGTGTGTATACGTGTTTGTGTGTGTGTATACATGTTTGTGTGTATACGTGTTTGTGTGTGTGTATAAATGTGTGTATATACATGTATATAAGTGTTTGTGTATGTGTTAGTGTGTGTGTATGTGTGTTAGTGTGTAGGTGTGTGTGTGTATGTGTTAATGTGTGTTAGTGTGTAGGTGTGTGTGTATATGTGTTAATGTGTGTTAGTGTGTAGGTGTGTGTGTATATGTGTTAGTGTGTAGGTGTGTGTGTTAGTGTGTAGGTGTGTGTGTGTTAGTGTGTAGGTGTATGTGTGTGTGTTAGTGTGTGTGTATATGTGTTAGTGTGTAGGTGTGTGTGTGTGTTAGTGTGTAGGTGGGTGTGTATGTGTGTGTCTATGTGTTAGTGTGTAGGTGTGTGTGTGTTAGTGTGTGTGTATGTGTGTAGGTGTGTGTATGTGTTAGTGTGTAGGTGTGTGTGTATGTGTTAGTGTGTGTGTATGTGTTAGTGTGTAGGTGTGTGTCTATGTGTTAGTGTGTGTGTCTATGTGTTAGTGTGTAGGTGTGTATGTGTTAGTGTGTGTGTATATGTGTTAGTGTGTGTGTGTTAGTGTGTAGGTGTATATGTGTTAGTGTGTAGGTGTGTGTGTCTATGTGTTAGTGTGTAGGTGTGTGTGCGTGTTAGTGTGTAGGTGTATATGTGTTAGTGTGTAGGTGTGTGTGTATATGTGTTAGTGTGTAGGTGTGTGTGTGTTAGTGTGTGTGTATATGTGTTAGTGTGTAGGTGTGTGTGTGTATATGTGTTAGTGTGTAGGTGTGTGTGTATGTGTTAGTGTGTGTCTATGTGTTAGTGTGTGTGTATGTGTTCGTGTGTGTGTATATGTGTTAGTGTGTGTGTAAGTGTGTAGGTATATATGTGTTAGTGTGTAGGTGTGTGTGTGTATGTGTTAGTGTGTGTGTATATGTGTTAGTGTGTAGGTGTGTCTGTTAGTGTGTCTATGTGTTAGTGTGTAGGTGTGTGTGTTAGTGTGTCGGTGTATGTCTTAGTGTGTATCTATGTGTTAGTGTGTAGGTGTGTGTGTTAGTGTGTAGGTGTATGTGTTAGTGTGTAGGTGTGTGTATATGTGTTAGTGTGTAGGTGTGTGTGTGTATCTATGTGTTAGTGTGTAGGTGTGTGTGTTAGTGTGTAGGTGTATGTGTTAGTGTGTAGGTGTGTGTGTTAGTGTGTCTATGTGTTAGTGTGTAGGTGTGTGTGTTAGTGTGTCGGTGTATGTCTTAGTGTGTATCTATGTGTTAGTGTGTCTATGTGTTAGTGTGTAGGTGTGTGTGTTAGTGTGTCGGTGTATGTCTTAGTGTGTATCTATGTGTTAGTGTGTAGGTGTGTGTGTTAGTGTGTAGGTGTATGTGTGTGTGTATATGTGTTAGTGTGTAGGTGTGTGTGTGTTAGTGTGTGTGTATATGTGTTAGTGTGTAGGTGGGTGTGTATGTGTGTGTCTATGTGTTAGTGTGTAGGTGTGTGTGTCTATGTGTTAGTGTGTCTATGTGTTAGTGTGTCTATGTGTTAGTGTGTAGGTGTATGTGTTAGTGTGTAAGTGTTAGTGTGTAGGTGTGTGTGTATGTGTTAGTGTGTAGGTGTGTGTGTCTATGTGTTAGTGTGTAGGTGTGTGTGTATGTGTTAGTGTGTAGGTGTGTGTGTAGGTGTATGTGTTAGTGTGTATCTATGTGTTAGTGTGTAGGTGTGTGTGTATGTGTGTAGGTGTGTGTGTCTATGTGTTAGTGTGTAGGTGTGTGTGTATGTGTTAGTGTGTAAGTGTTAGTGTGTAGGTGTGTGTGTATGTGTTAGTGTGTAGGTGTGTGTGTTAGTGTGTCTATGTGTTAGTGTGTAGGTGTATGTGTTAGTGTGTAAGTGTTAGTGTGTAGGTGTGTGTGTATGTGTTAGTGTGTAGGTGTGTGTGTATGTGTTAGTGTGTAGGTGTGTGTGTCTATGTGTTAGTGTGTAGGTGTGTGTGTATATTGTAATTTTTGACAATGGGCGACGCGGTGGCTGAGTGGTTAGCACTCACTTCTCAGCAGAAGATCCTGGGTTCAAGTCCCAGTCAGAAAAGACTCTTTCTGAGTGGAGTTTGCATGAAACCTGCATGTCTGTGTAGGTTTCCTCCAGGCGCTCCGGTTTCCCCTACCACTAAAACATACAACAGGAAAAATCCTCTGGTCCGAGCATCATCATCTGGAGCTGGGTCCGTTTCCACGGCGACCACAGCCTCTGATGGCGTATCCTAGCAACGGTACAGTCTGACAGTGAAACACTCTTTTCTGTAAATATGTTTAATGTTAAATAAAGAAAACTCCCATATAAAACAAAGGTACAGTCCACAATTTAATTCTTTTAAACGAACAGAAATGAGTCGACGAGAAAAATACTTTTCCCAAAAAATTCACAATTCATGGTTTTGTGTTTTTTCTAACAATATAAAATAAAACACATTAACTGTACATATGTACACGTGTAGAAATTGCATAATTGCCTTTTTCACTTTTTCTATTGATTTAAATACAGAAGGGGCGGGGCTAGAGAAGGGGGCGTGGCTAGAGGAAACTGAACTGTGCTTCTACGTCATTCAGACAAAACATGACAAACACAGAGACCAAGACCAGGGTTCAGACCAAGACCAGGGTTCAGACCAAGACCAGGGTTCAGACCAAGACCAGGGTTCAGACCAAGACCAGGGTTCAGACCAAGACCAGGGTTCAGACCAAGACCAGGGTTCACACCAAGACCAGGATTCAGACCTGATGTTGGAGTTCTTCCAGATCTTTAATCTCACACACACACACACACAGAGACACACACACAGACACACACACACACACACAGAGACACACACAGTTGAAGTACAGGGTATACAACAAACTGGTTTGACTCGCCGCAAGCAAACCACTGCCAACAGGGAGGAGGTGAACACATCTACATTTCAGTATTATTTATTATCAATCCCTGGGACTCTGAGGAGCACAGGGACTGGCCTCCTGCTGGGACTCTGAGGAGCACAGGGACTGGACTCCTGCTGGGACTCTGAGGAGCACAGGGACTGGCCTCCTGCTGGGACTCTGAGGAGCACAGGGACTGGCCTCCTGCTGGGACTCTGAGGAGCACAGGGACTGGCCTCCTGCTGGGACTCTGAGGAGCACAGGGACTGGCCTCCTGCTGGGACTCTGAGGAGCACAGGGACTGGCCTCCTGCTGGGACTCTGAGGAGCACAGGGACTGGCCTGCTGCTGGGACAATCTTCCTGAAAATGTGAGACAGACTCTTCTTCTCTGACAATGTTCAAAACCAGGTTAAAACAGTTTCTGCAACGACTGAAGAATTTTATCTTTACTCTTTTAATGAACCGTGATTAATTATGATGTTAATGTTGCCTCTGGTGTAGAGGGAGGTGTGGGGCCTCTGGTGTAGAGGGAGGTGTGGGGCCCCTGGTGTAGAGGGAGGTGTGGGGCCCCTGGTGTAGAGGAAGGTGTGGGGCCTCTGGTGTAGAGGGAGGTGTGGGGCCCCTGGTGTAGAGGGAGGTGTGGGGCCCCTGGTGTAGAGGAAGGTGTGGGGCCTCTGGTGTAGAGGAAGGTGTGGGGCCTCTGGTGTAGAGGGAGGTGTGGGGCCCCTGGTGTAGAGGGAGGTGTGGGGCCTCTGGTGTAGAGGAAGGTGTGGGGCCTCTGGTGTAGAGGAAGGTGTGGGGCCCCTGGTGTAGAGGGAGGTGTGGGGCCCCTGGTGTAGAGGAAGGTGTGGGGCCTCTGGTGTAGAGGGAGGTGTGGGGCCCCTGGTGTAGAGGGAGGTGTGGGGCCCCTGGTGTAGAGGAAGGTGTGGGGCCTCTGGTGTAGAGGAAGGTGTGGGGCCTCTGGTGTAGAGGAAGGTGTGGGGCCCCTGGTGTAGAGGGAGGTGTGGGGCCCCTGGTGTAGAGGAAGGTGTGGGGCCCCTGGTGTAGAGGGAGGTGTGGGGCCCCTGGTGTAGAGGAAGGTGTGGGGCCTCTGGTGTAGAGGAAGGTGTGGGGCCTCTGGTGTAGAGGAAGGTGTGGGGCCTCTGGTGTAGAGGGAGGTGTGGGGCCTCTGGTGTAGAGGAAGGTGTGGGGCCTCTGGTGTAGAGGGAGGTGTGGGGCCTCTGGTGTAGAGGAAGGTGTGGGGCCTCTGGTGTAGAGGAAGGTGTGGGGCCCCTGGTGTAGAGGGAGGTGTGGGGCCTCTGATGTAGAGGGAGGTGTGGGGCCTCTGATGTAGAGGGAGGTGTGGGGCCTCTGGTGTAGAGGGAAGTGTGGGGCCTCTGGTGTAGAGGAAGGTGTGGGGCCTCTGGTGTAGAGGAAGGTGTGGGGCCCCTGGTGTGGAGGGAGGTGTGGGGCCTCTGGTGTAGAGGGAAGTGTGGGGCCTCTGGTGTAGAGGAAGGTGTGGGGCCCCTGGTGTAGAGGGAGGTGTTGGGCCCCGGCGGCCCCTGATGGTTAATACTTCTTCTCTGTTGGCAGTGATTTCCTTGTGTTCTTCTCTAAACACCAAATCCACAGAGCGCCCCCTGCTGGTATTGTCACAGTCTGATGTCAGGGCTCACAGGGACCATTACTAGTGCAGTTCAAAGTGGTGCTGGGTAGTGATGGAGGAGGAGGAGGAGGAGAAGGAGGAACAGGAAGAGCAGGAGGAGGAGAAGGAGGAACAGGAGAAGGAGGAGCAGGAGGTCACTGTCTCTGGGATCTGGTTCCTCGTCTGCGGCGGCCGCGCACTGATCTGTCAGACTTCAGCTGCAAGAGACACAAGTCACATGACGTCACTGACTAGAGTCACATGACATCACCGACTACAGTAACTGACTAGAGTCACATGACATCACAGACTGCAGTCACATGACATCACAGACTACAGTCACATGACGTCACCGACTACAGTCACATGAAGTCACAGACTGCAGTCACATGACATCACTGACTACAGTCACATGACATCACTGACTAGAGTCACATGACGTCATTGACTATAGTCACATGACATCACTGACTACAGTCACATGACATCACTGACTAGAGTCACATGACATCACCAACTACAGTCACATGACGTCATTGACTATAGTCACATGACATCACAGACTACAGTCACATGACGTCACAGACAGCAGTCACATGACATCACAGACTGCAGTCACATGACATCACAGACTGCAGTCACAAGACATCACTGACTACAGTCACATGACGTCACCGACTACAGTCGCATGACATCACAGACTACAGTCACATGACGTCACCGACTACAGTCACATGACGTCACCGACTACAGTCACATGACATCACAGACTGCAGTCACATGACATCACAGACTGCAGTCACATGACATCACAGACTACAGTCACATGACGTCACCGACTAGTCACATGACGTCACCGACTACAGTCACATGACATCACAGACTGCAGTCACATGACATCACAGACTGCAGTCACATGACATCACAGACTGCAGTCACATGACATCACTGACTGCAGTCACATGACATCACTGACTGCAGTCACATGACATCACTGACTACAGTCACATGACGTCACTGACTACAGTCACATGACGTCACCGACTACAGTCACATGACATCACAGACTGCAGTCACATGACATCACAGACTGCAGTCACATGACATCACAGACTGCAGTCACATGACATCACTGACTGCAGTCACATGACATCACCGACTACAGTCACATGACGTCACCGACTAGTCACATGACGTCACCGACTACAGTCACATGACGTCACCGACTACAGTCACATGACGTCACCGACTATAGTCACATGACGTCACCGACTGCAGTCACATGACATCACAGACTGCAGTCACATGACATCACAGACTGCAGTCACATGACATCACAGACTGCAGTCACATGACATCACTGACTACAGTCACATGACGTCACTGACTACAGTCACATGACGTCACCGACTAGTCACTTGACGTCACAAACAGCAGTCACATGACGTCACAGACAGCAGTCACATGACATCACCGACTACAGTCACATGACGTCACAGACTACAGTCACATGACATCACAGACTGCAGTCACATGACGTCACCGACTTCAGTCACATGACGTCACCGTCTACAGTCACATGACGTCACCGTCTACAGTCACATGACATCACTGACTACAGTCACATGACATCATTGACTACAGTCACATGACATCACTGACTACAGTCACATGACATCACTGACTACAGTCAAATGACATCACTGACTACAGTCACATGACGTCATTGACTACAGTCACATGACATCACTGACTACAGTCACATGACGTCACCGACTACAGTCGCATGACATCACAGACTACAGTCACATGACGTCACCGACTACAGTCACATGACGTCACCGACTACAGTCACATGACATCACAGACTGCAGTCACATGACATCACAGACTGCAGTCACATGACATCACAGACTACAGTCACATGACGTCACCGACTAGTCACATGACGTCACCGACTACAGTCACATGACATCACAGACTGCAGTCACATGACATCACAGACTGCAGTCACATGACATCACAGACTGCAGTCACATGACATCACTGACTGCAGTCACATGACATCACTGACTGCAGTCACATGACATCACTGACTACAGTCACATGACGTCACTGACTACAGTCACATGACGTCACCGACTACAGTCACATGACATCACAGACTGCAGTCACATGACATCACAGACTGCAGTCACATGACATCACAGACTGCAGTCACATGACATCACCGACTGCAGTCACATGACATCACCGACTACAGTCACATGACGTCACCGACTAGTCACATGACGTCACCGACTACAGTCACATGACGTCACCGACTACAGTCACATGACGTCACCGACTATAGTCACATGACGTCACCGACTGCAGTCACATGACATCACAGACTGCAGTCACATGACATCACAGACTGCAGTCACATGACATCACAGACTGCAGTCACATGACATCACTGACTACAGTCACATGACGTCACTGACTACAGTCACATGACGTCACCGACTAGTCACTTGACGTCACAAACAGCAGTCACATGACGTCACAGACAGCAGTCACATGACATCACCGACTACAGTCACATGACGTCACAGACTACAGTCACATGACATCACAGACTGCAGTCACATGACGTCACCGACTTCAGTCACATGACGTCACCGTCTACAGTCACATGACGTCACCGTCTACAGTCACATGACATCACTGACTACAGTCACATGACATCATTGACTACAGTCACATGACATCACTGACTACAGTCACATGACATCACTGACTACAGTCAAATGACATCACTGACTACAGTCACATGACATCACTGACTACAGTCACATGACATCACTGACTACAGTCACATGACGTCACAGACAGCAGTCACATGACGTCATTGACTACAGTCAAATGACATCACTGACTACAGTCAAATGACATCACTGACTACAGTCACATGACGTCATTGACTACAGTCACATGACGTCATTGACTACAGTCACATGACGTCACCAACTACAGTCACATGACGTCACCGACTACAGTCACATGACGTCACCGACTACAGTCACATGACGTCACAGACAGCAGTCACATGACATCACAGACTGCAGTCACATGACATCACAGACTGCAGTCACATGACATCACAGACTGCAGTCACATGACATCACAGACTGCAGTCACATGACATCACAGACTGCAGTCACATGGCATCACTGACTACAGTCACATGACGTCACCGACTACAGTCACATGACGTCGCCGACTAGTCACTTGACGTCACAAACAGCAGTCACATGACGTCACAGACAGCAGTCACATGACATCACCAACTACAGTCACATGACGTCACAGACTGCAGTCACATGACATCACAGACTGCAGTCACATGACGTCACCGACTTCAGTCACATGACGTCACCGTCTACAGTCACATGACGTCACCGTCTACAGTCACATGACATCACTGAATACAGTCACATGACATCACTGACTACAGTCACATGACATCACTGACTACAGTCAAATGACATCACTGACTACAGTCACATGACGTCATTGACTACAGTCACATGACATCACCGACTAGTCACTGACTACAGTCACATGACGTCACCGACTACAGTCACATGACATCACCGACTACAGTCACATGACATCACCGACTACAGTCACATGACATCACTGACTAGTCACATAACGTCATTGACTACTGTCACATGACATCACCGACTACAGTCACATGACATCACTGACTACAGTCACATGACATCACCGACTACAGTCACATGACGTCACCGACTACAGTCACATGACGTCACAGACAGCAGTCACATGACGTCACAGACAGCAGTCACATGACGTCACAGACTACAGTCACATGACGTCACCGACTACAGTGACATGACGTCACAGACAGCAGTCACATGACGTCACAGACAGCAGTCACATGACGTCATTGACTACAGTCACATGACATCACCGACTAGTCACTGACTACAGTCACATGACGTCACCGACTACAGTCACATGACATCACCGACTAGTCACATGACATCACCGACTACAGTCACATAACGTCATTGACTACAGTCACATGACATCACAGACTACAGTCACATGACATCACTGACTACAGTCACATGACATCACAGACTACAGTCACATGACATCACAGACTACAGTCACATGACGTCACCGACTACAGTCACATGACGTCACAGACAGCAGTCACATGACGTCACCGACTACAGTCACATGACGTCACCGACTACAGTCACATGACGTCACCAACTACAGTCACATGACGTCACCGACTACAGTCACATGACGTCACCGACTACAGTCACATGACGTCACAGACTAGTCACATGACATCACCGACTACAGTCACATGACGTCACTGACTACAGTCACATGACGTCACCGACTACAGTCACATGACGTCACAGACTAGTCACATGACATCACCGACTACAGTCACATGACGTCACTGACTACAGTCACATGACGTCACCGACTACAGTCACATGACGTCACCGACTACAGTCACATGACGTTATTGACTATAGTCACATGACATCACCGACTACAGTCACATGACGTCACAGACTACAGTTACATGACGTCACAGACAGCAGTCACATGACATCACAGATTGCAGTCACATGACGTCACCGACTAGTCACTTGACGTCACAAACAGCAGTCACATGACGTCACAGACAGCAGTCACATGACATCACCGACTACAGTCACATGACGTCACAGACTGCAGTCACATGACATCACAGACTGCAGTCACATGACGTCACTGACTACAGTCACATGACATCATTGACTACAGTCACATGACATCACTGACTACAGTCAAATTACATCACTGACTACAGTCACATGACGTCATTGACTACAGTCACATGACGTCATTGACTACAGTCACATGACGTCATTGACTACAGTCACATGACGTCATTGACTACAGTCACATGACATCACCGACTAGTCACTGACTACAGTCACATGACGTCACCGACTACAGTCACATGACATCACCGACTACAGTCACATGACATCACAGACTACAGTCACATGACGTCACCGACTACAGTCACATGACGTCACCGACTACAGTCACATGACGTCACAGACAGCCGTCACATGACGTCACAGACAGCAGTCACATGACGTCACAGACAGCAGTCACATGACGTCACCGAGTACAGTCACATGACGTCACCGACTGCAGTCACATGACATCACCGACTACAGTCACATGACATCACAGACTGCAGTCACATGACGTCACCGACTAGTCACATGACGTTATTGACTATAGTCACATGACATCACCGACTACAGTCACATGACGTCACAGACTACAGTTACATGACGTCACAGACAGCAGTCACATGACATCACAGACTGCAGTCACATGACATCCCAGACTGCAGTCACATGACATCACAGACTGCAGTCACATGACATCACAGACTGCAGTCACATGACATCACTGACTACAGTCACATGAGATCACCGACTACAGTCACATGACATCACCGACTACAGTCACATGACGTCACCGACTAGTCACATGACGTCACAGACAGCAGTCACATGACGTCACAGACAGCAGTCACATGACGTCACTGACTCCAGTCACATGACGTCATTGACTACAGTCACATGACGTCACCGACTACAGTCACATGTCACCGACTACAGTCACATGACGTCACCGTCTACAGTCACATGACGTCACCGACTACAGTCACATGACATCACTAACTATAGTCACATGACATCACAGACTACAGTCACATGACATCACAGACTACAGTCACATGACATCTCTGACAAACACACACAGGGATTTTACAAATGTCGAATTATATAGAAAAAGTATGCTCCTGGTGTCTCTCTGCCTCTCCCTCTCAGTCTCTCTCCCTGTCTGTCTCTCCCTCTCTTTCTCTCCCTCTCAGTCAGTCTCTCCCTCTCTGTCTCTCCCTCTCAGTCTCTCCCTCTCAGTCTCTCCCTCTCAGTCCGTCTCTCCCTCAGTCCGTCTCTCCCTCAGTCCGTCTCTCTGTCTCTCCCTCTCTGTCTCTCCCTCTGAACCCTACCTCCTGTGTGTGTAGTTTACAGGTGGAGGAGACTGTGGCTGTTTCTTAACGACAGATGCTGCAGAGACTCACCTCGGATTCATCCAGAGCAGACGAGTCCAGCTCTCGGAAGTCCTCGAGAACATTCTGCAGGCTGAGGAGAGAGAAGGAGAGAATGAGGAGAGGGTGGATAGAGGGAGGAGAGAGAGGGGAGAGAGGGAGGAGAGAAAAAGGAGAGAGGGAGAAGAGAGAGAGGAGAGAGAAAGGAGAGCGGGAGGAGGGAGGGAGGAGAGAGAGAGGAAGGAGAGAGGGAGGAGAGAGAGGAAGGAGAGAGGGAGGAGAGAGGCATGAGAGAGGGGAAGGAGAGAGGGAGGAGAGAGAGATGAGAGAGGGAGGAGAGAGAGATGAGAGAGGGAGGAGAGAGAGATGAGAGAGAGGAGAGAGAGGAGAGGAGTGAAGTACACAAACTGGCACTTACAGTTGTTTGCGTTTCCTTCCTCGTCTGGCTTCACCCAAACCTCCCACTGCATCCTACAGACACAAGACGTGTGTAACATGTAACATGTGTGTAACGTGTGTAACATGTAACATGTAACGTGTGTGTAACATGTAACATGTGTGTAATGTGTGTGTTACGTGTGTGTAACATGTAACATGTGTGTAACGTGTGTGTAACATGTAACGTGTGTAGCGTGTAATGTGTGTGTAACATGTAACGTGTGTGTTATGTGTGTAACATGTATGTCACGTGTGTAACGTGTGTGTAACATGTGTGTAACATGTAACACACATGTAACATGGGCGGCACGGTGGCTGAGTGGATAGCACTCTTGCCTCTCAGCAAGAAGGTCCTGGGTTCGAATCCCGGTCGGGCCAGGGCCTTTCTGAGTGGAGTTTGCATGTTCTCCCCATGTCTGCGTAGGTTTGCTCCGGGTACTCCGGTTTCCCCTACCACTAAAAATATGTACAATAGTTCTGGCATGTGCCTCCTGTACTGGCCCCGCTCCCATCTCTGTGTGAAGTGAGAGACAAGTGCCCAAAAATAACAATTGTAAACCGCTTTGAGACTCTGGTCTGTGAAAGACGGTATATAAATAAACATTACTTACTTACTTACTAACATGTGTGTAATGTGTGTGTAACATGTAACAGGTGTGTAACGTGTGTGTAACATGTAACATGTGTGTAACATGTATGTCACGTGTGTAACATGTAACAGGTGTGTAACATGTAACATGTGTGTAACATGTAACATGTGTGTAACATGTAACATGTGTGTAACATGTAAAATGTGTGTAACGTGTTTGTAACATGTGTGTAACATGTATGTCACGTGTGTAACGTGTGTGTAACATTTAACATGTGTGTAACGTGTGCAACGTGTGTAAATCCCCCTGTTAAGATGCCATCAGAGCTTACCTCCAAAACCAAATGTAATGAGTTTGCAGAGTTTTTTAATGACAAAGTCCAAGGCATCAAAAATGCCATCACCTCCACAGTAGAAATTACAATCCAACAGCCAGTGAAGCTTTTTGGGCTGACACACTTTACACCAGTACAAAATGAAACTGTCCAAATGATAATTACAAGTCTGAGTTCTTCTACATGTAGCCTGGATGTATTACCTCCTAGATTTCTTAAATCTGTTCTGAGCAGTCTTTTACCTTCACTCACGCATATAGTAAATATGTCTCTTGAATCTGGAACATTCCCAATGGCCCTGAAAACGGCAGTCATCAGACCCCTCCTAAAAAAGAGGAGTCTGGATGCCTTGGCACTTAAAAGTTATCGGCCCATTTCAAATCTGCCTTTCATGGGTAAAATTCTAGAAAAAGTTGTCTATCACCAACTTACAGAATTTTTAATAATCAATCACTCTTTTGATATGTTCCAGTCTGGTTTTAGACCCCACCACAGCACAGAGACCGCTCTAGTGAAGGTAACAAATGACATCAGACTTAACACTGACGCAGGAAAAGTCTCAGTTCTTATCCTGTTAGATTTGAGTGCTGCTTTCGACACTGTCGATCATGGTATCCTCATTCAGAGACTTGAGGACTGGGTTGGTGTTTCTGGAACAGCCCTAAGCTGGTTTATATCCTACCTACAGGACAGAAAGTATTTTGTGGAGATCGGAAACTGTGTCTCAGACCATCTGGCCCTGACCTGCGGAGTGCCACAGGGCTCAATCCTGGGGCCTCTCCTGTTTAATATTTACATGCTGCCTCTGGGTAGGTTAATACACAGTAATAACGTGTCCTATCACAATTACGCTGACGATACTCAGGTCTATGTGTCCCTGACAGCAGGAGAACATGGACCAGTGGACTCGCTCCTTCACTGTATCCAACAGATCAGTGATTGGATGCAAAATAACTTTCTCCAGCTAAACACAGAAAAAACTGAAATTATTGTTTTCGGACCTCAGAAACAAAGAGAGAGCGTTATCTGCCACCTCCAGTCTCTCTCCCTAAAACCCTCAACTCAGGTCAGAAATCTAGGAGTAATAATGGACTCAGACTTGAATTTCAATAGCCACATATCATCTGTGACATCATCAGCTTACTTCCACCTAAGAAACATTGCTAAAATTAAAAACATTGTGTCTAAAGCAGACTTGGAGATTCTTATCCACGCATTTGTCTCCAGTCGATTGGACTACTGCAATGGCTTGTTCACAGGTCTCTCTAAACAAGCGGTAAAACAGCTGCAGTACATCCAAAATGCTGCAGCTCGAGTCCTGACTAGAACCAGGAAGTACGACCACATTAGTCCGGTCCTCAGGTCTCTGCACTGGCTTCCTGTGGCTCAGAGAATAGATTTTAAAGTAGCTTTACTTGTGTACAAGTCTCTCCATGGCCTCACACCAGGGTACATCCGCGACATGTTGGTGCCATATGAACCAACTCGGGCTCTGAGGAGCACAGGGACTGGACTTCTGTTAGTGCCAAGAGTCGGAACTAGACATGGGGAGGCTGCGTTTCAGATTCATGCAGCTAGAGTCTGGAACCGTCTTCCCGAGAGTGTGAGACAGGCGTCTACTCTAGCAGTTTTTAAAACTGAACTGAAAACAGTTCTTTTTAGCTGTGCATACAAGTGAATGATTTTACATTTGTTTTTATCTTTAATCTTTTTAATGCGCTATGATTATTTATGATTATTTATGATTGTAATCCCTTGTGTGATTTTAATTTTTTACGGTTTTTAACTACTTGTGTGATTTTATATATCTTGTGCTCTTAATCTGTCTTTTTATGTTTACTTAAATTCTAATGTTTGATGATTTATGCATGATGTTATATGGGTTGTGAGGCGCTTTGCGTTGCCTTGTGTAGGAAAGGCGCTCTATAAATAAACGTTGATTGATTGATTGATAACGTGTGTGTAACATGTATGTCACGTGTGTAACGTGTATGTAAAATGTGTGTAACATGTGTGTGACATGTAAGTAATTTAGTAAGTAAGTAATCTTTATTTATATACCGCCTTTTCACTGCAGATCTGAGTCTCAAAGCGGTTTACAATTGTTAATTTTTGGGCATTTGTCTCTCACTCCACACAGAGATGGGAGCGGGGCCAGTACAGGAGGCACATGCCAGAACTATTGGACATATTTTTAGTGGTAGGGGAAACCGGAATACCCGGAGGAAACCTACGCAGACACGGGGAGAACATGCAAACTCCACTCAGAAAGGCCCTGGTCCGACCGGGATTCGAACCCAGGACCTTCTTACTGAGAGGCGAGAGTTCTATCCACTCAGCCACCGTGCCGCCCTCAACACGGTGTGTAACATGTGTGTAACCATAGCAACACAAAGCTTACTGTGGTGTGTTGGTCCAGCAGGGTCCTGGGACCGTCTTCTCTGCAGTTGTCTCCAGGACTGAGGAACCCTGGGGGGGGTCTCCTCCTGTGCGCCTCCTCTGTGGGCCTCCTGCAGTCTGTCTGCGCCTCCTCCAGGAACACTGGGGGGAGGCTCCTCCTGTGCGCCTCCTCTGTGGGCCTCCTGCAGTCTGTCTTCGCCTCCTCCAGGAACACTGGGGGGAGGCTCCTCCTGTGCGCCTCCTCTGTGGGGCGGGGGGTGCCCTGAGCGGGGGAGTGTGCTGAGGCCTCCAGACTGAGGCGGGACAGTTCAGGGTTCCTCAGAGAGCAGGCCCTGCGGGGGCTCAGGGCCACAGGAGCACAGGCCTGAGGCAGTGTGTCCAGGGGTAAGGCACAGAAGGACGGGTCCGAGGGGCCCAGGCGGGCCCCCTCCTGCTGCTCTCTCGCACTGACCTGCAGGAAGGAGCTGTAGATGGTGTCCATGAAAGAGGTGTAGGGGTCGATCACAGACCGGGGGCCTGTGGGTTTGGGAGGGGGCTCAGGGGGAGGGGCCTCAGGCTGAACATCCACGCTCTGATTGGCTGGAATGTCACCTTGAGGGGCGGAGCTTTGCTTCTCCATAGAAACGGGCTTCTCTTCCTCCGAAGTAGTGATGCTCAACTGTTGGAAAAAGGAAACATGAAGACACGAGTACTGTAGAAAAGAGGTACAGGAGTACTGTAGTACTGTAGTACTGTAGTACAGGAGTACTGTAGTACAGGAGTACTGTAGGACTGGAGTACAGGAGTACTGTAGGACTGTAGTACAGGAGTACTGTAGGACTGGAGTACAGGAGTACTGTAGGACTGGAGTATAGGAGTACAGGAGTACTGTAGTACAGGAGTACAGGAGTACTGTAGTACAGGAGTACTGTAGTATAGGAGTACTGTAGGACTGGAGTACAGGAGTACTGTAGGACTGTACTACAGTACTCCTGTACTACAGGAGTACAGGAGTACTGTAGTACTGTAGTACAGGAGTACAAGAGTACTGTAGGACTGGAGTACAGGAGTACAGGAGTACTGTAGTACAGGAGTACAGGAGTACTGTAGTACAGGAGTACTGTAGTACAGGAGTACTGTAGGACTGGAGTACAGGAGTACTGCAGTACAGGAGTACTGTAGTACAGGAGTACTGTAGGACTGTAGTACAGGAGTACTGTAGGACTGTAGTACAGAAGTACTGTAGTACAGGAGTACTGTAGGACTGGAGTACAGGAGTACTGTAGGACTGTAGTACAGGAGTACTGTAGTACAGGAGTACTGGAGTACAGGAGTACTGTAGGACTGTAGTACAGGAGTACTGTAGGACTGGAGTATAGGAGTACAGGAGTACTGTAGGACTGGAGTACAGGAGTACTGTAGTACAGGAGTACAGGAGTACTGTAGGACTGGAGTACAAGAGTACTGTAGGACTGGAGTACAGGAGTACTGTAGTACAGGAGTACTGTAGTACTGTAGTACAGGAGTACTGTAGTACAGGAGTACTGTAGGACTGTAGTACAGGAGTACTGTAGTACAGGAGTACTGTAGGACTGTAGTACAGGAGTACTGTAGGACTGTAGTACAGGAGTACTGTAGTACAGGAGTACTGTAGGACTGGAGTATAGGAGTACAGGAGTACTGTAGTACAGGAGTACTGTAGGACTGGAGTACAGGAGTACTGTAGTACTGTAGTACAGGAGTACTGTAGGACTGGAGTACAGGAGTACTGTAGTACAGGAGTACTGTAGGACTGGAGTACAGGAGTACTGTAGGACTGTAGTACAGGAGTACTGTAGTACAGGAGTACTGTAGGACTGGAGTACAGGAGTACTGTAGTACAGGAGTACTGTAGGACTGGAGTATAGGAGTACAGGAGTACTGTAGTACAGGAGTACATTAGTACTGTAGTATTGAAGTACATAAGTACTGTAGCATCGTAGTACATAAGTACTGTAGTACATAAATACTGTAGTACATAAATACTGTAGTACATAAGTACTGTAGTATTGTAGTACATAAGTACTTTAGTACATAAGTACTGTAGTACATAAGAACTGTAGTACATAAGTACTGTAGTACATAAGTACTGTAGTACATAAGAACTGTAGTATCGTAGTACATAAGTACTGTAGTACATAAGAACTGTACTACATAAGTACTGTAGTACATAAATAGTGTGGTACATAAGTACTGTAGTACATAAGTACTGTAGTACATAAGAACTGTAGTATCGTAATACATAAGTACTGTAGTACATAAGAACTGTAGTACATAAGTACTGTAGTACATAAGAACTGTAGTACATAAGTACTGTAGTACATAAGTACTGTAGTACATCAGTACTGTAGTACATAAGAACTGTAGTACATAAGTACTGTAGTACATAAGTACTGTAGTACATAAGAACTGTAGTATCGTAGTACATAAGTACTGTAGTACATAAATACTGTAGTACATAAGTACTGTAGTACATAAATACTGTAGTACATAAGTACTGTAGTACATAAATACTGTAGTACATAAGTACTGTAGTACATAAGTACTGTAGTACATAAGAACTGTAGTACATAAGTACTGTAGTATCGTAGTACATAAGTACTGTAGTACATAAATACTGTAGTACATAAGTACTGTAGTACATAAATACTGTAGTACATAAATACTGTAGTACATAAGTACTGTAGTACATAAGTACTGTAGTACATAAGAACTGTAGTATCGTAGTACATAAGTACTGTAGTACATAAGAACTGTAGTATCGTAGTACATAAGTACTGTAGTACATAAATACTGTAGTACATAAGTACTGTAGTACATAAATACTGTAGTACATAAGTACTGTAGTGAGTCAGAGGCTGTGCACCTGGAGGTTGTTGAGGAGGTTGATGGTTCCATCATGGCTCTGCAGCAGAGGTAAGCCCAGAGCAGAGGCCTGGACTGGGGGTAAGAGGATGGAGCCAGGCCCTAGACCCAGCAGGTTCTGGAGGTTAGTGATGTTAGAGAGGTCTCCTGTGGACACATGAGTGTTAGTGTAACACACACACAGAGACAGACACACAGACAGACACACACACATATATACACACACACACACACAGACATACAGTGCCTTGCGAAAGTATTCGACCCCCTTGAACCTTTCAACATTTCGCCACATTTCAGGCTTCAAACATAAAGATATAAAAAATTAATTTTTTGTCAAGAATCAACAACAAGTGGGACACAATCGTGAAGTGGAACGAAATTTATTGGATAATTTAAACTTTTTTAACAAATAAAAAACTGAAAAGTGGGGCGTGCGATATTATTCGGCCCCTTGCACTAATACTTTGTAGCGCCACCTTTTGCTGCAATTACAGCTGCAAGTCGCTTGGGGTATGTCTCTATCAGTTTTGCACATCGAGAGACTGGAATTCTTGCCCATTCTTCCTTGCAAAACAGCTGGAGCTCAGTGAGGTTGGATGGAGAGCGTTTGTGAACAGCAGTCTTCAGCTCTTTCCACAGATTCTGGATTGGATTCAGGTCTGGACTTTGACTTGGCCATTCTAACACCTGGATACGTCTATTTGTGAACCATTCCATTGTAGATTTGGCTTTATGTTTTGGATCATTGTCCTGTTGGAAGATAAATCTCCGTCCCAGTCTCAGGTCTTTTGCAGACTCCAACAGGTTTTCTTCCAGAATGGTCCTGTATTTGGCTCCATCCATCTTCCCATCAATTTTAGCCATCTTCCCTGTCCCTGCTGAAGAAAAGCAGGCCCAAAGCATGATGCTGCCACCACCATGTTTGACAGTGGGGATGGTGTGTTCAGGGTGATGAGCTGTGTTGCTTTTACGCCAAACATATCGTTTTGCATTGTGGCCAAAAAGTTCGATTTTGGTTTCATCTGACCAGAGCACCTTCTTCCACATGTTTGGTGTGTCTCCCAGGTGGCTTGTGGCAAACTTTAAACGAGACTTTTTATGGATATCTTTGAGAAATGGCTTTCTTCTTGCCACTCTTCCATAAAGGCCAGATTTGTGCAGTGCACGACTGATTGTTGTCCTATGGACAGACTCCCACCTCAGCTGTAGTTATCTGCAGTTCATCCAGAGTGATCATGGGCCTCTTGGCTGCATCTCTGATCAGTCTTTTCCTTGTTTGAGATGAAAGTTTGGAAGGACGGCCGGGTCTTGGTAGATTTGCAGTGGTCTGATACTCCTTCCATTTCATTATAATTGCTTGCACAGTGCTCCTTGAGATGTTAAAAGCTTGGGAAATCTTTTTGTATCCAAATCCGACTTTAAACTTCTCCACAACAGTATCTCGGACCTGCCTGGTGTGTTCCTTTGTCTTCATGGTTCTCTCTGCGCTTTAAACAGAACCCTGAGACTATCAAAGAGCAGGTGCATTTATACGGAGACTTGATTACACACAGTTGCATTCTATTTATCATCATCAGTCATTTAGGACAACATTGGATCATTCAAAGATCCTCACTGAACTTCTGGACTGAGTTTGCTGCACTGAAAGTAAAGGGGCCCAATAATATTGCACGCCCCACTTTTCAGTTTTTTATTTGTTAAAAAAGTTTAATTTTTATATCTTTATGTTTGAAGCCTGAAATGTGGCGAAATGTTGAAAGGTTCAAGGGGGCCGAATACTTTCGCAAGGTACTGTATATACACACACACACATACAGTATATACACACACACCTAGAACTGCAGTGTTCAGTAATGTTGGCAGCAGCTGCTGGAGCAGAGGGTTGTCTTTACTCTGCAGATGCAGAGGGATGAGGGCGTCCACACCATCAGCCTGCAGCAGAAGGAGGTTCATGAGGAGGAGCAGAGGAGGAGCAGAGGAGGCAACACACTGAGGATTCAGAAGAGTATATTTCCTGATATAGTCTGAGTGAGAATAGACAAGAATTGTGTGCGGAGGCTTGATGTAAGAGGTGCAGGTGGAGGCCTGATGTAGGGGGTGCAGGTGGAGGCGTATTGTAGGAGGTGCAGGTGTGAGGCCTGATGTAGGAGGTGCAGGTGGAGGCCTGATGTAGGAGGTGTGGGTGTGAGGCCTGATGTAGGAGGTGCAGGTGGAGGCCTGATGTAGGAGGTGCAGGTGGAGGCCTGATGTAGGAGGTGCAGGTGGAGGCCTGATGTAGGAGGTGCAGCTGGAGGCCTGATATAAGATGTGCAGGTGTGTGGAGGCCTGATGTAGGAGGTGCAGGTGGAGGCCTGATGTAGGGGGTGCAGGTGGAGGCGTATTGTAGGAGGTGCAGGTGTGAGGCCTGATGTAGGAGGTGCAGGTGGAGGCCTGATGTAGGAGGTGTGGGTGTGAGGCCTGATGTAGGAGGTGCAGGTGGAGGCCTGATGTAGGAGGTGCAGGTGGAGGCCTGATGTAGGAGGTGCAGCTGGAGGCCTGATATAAGAGGTGCAGGTGGAGGCCTGATGTAGGAGGTGCAGGTGGAGGCCTGATGTAGGAGGTGCAGGTGGAGCCCTGATGTAGGAGGTGAAGGTGGAGGTCTGATGTAGGAGGTGCAGGTGGAGTCCATAAGTAGGAGGTGAAGGTGTGTGAGGTCTGATGTAGGAGGTGCAGGTGGAGGCCAGATGTAGGAGGTGCAGGCGGAGGCCTGATGTAGGAGGTGCAGGTGTGTGGAGACCAGATGTAGGAGGTGCAGGTGGAGGCCTGATATAGGAGGTGCAGGTGGAGGCGTGATGTAGGAGCCGCAGGTGTGTGGAGGCCTGATGTAGGAGGTGCAGGTGGAGGCCTAATGAAGGAGGTGCAGGTGTGTGGAGGCCTGATGTAGGAGGTGCAGGTGGAGGCCTAATGAAGGAGGTGCAGGTGTGTGGAGGCCTGATGTAGGAGGTGCAGGTGGAGGCCTAATGAAGGAGGTGCAGATGTGCGGAGGCCTGATGTAGGAGGTGCAGGTGTGAGGCCTGATGTAGGAGGTGCAGATGTGTGGAGGCCTGATGTAGAAGGTGCAGATGTGTGGAGGCCTGATGTAGGAGGTGCAGGTGTGTGGAGGCCTGATGAAGGAGGTGCAGGTGGAGGCGTTATGTAGGAGGTGCAGGAGACCCTCGTACCTGCGGCGGGGGCTGGTGTGGCGGTTGTGATGGACCTAACTGAGGGCTGGGAGGCGGGTGGAGCTCTGCGGAGCTCAGGGCAGCAGACAGGAGGGCAGGGCTAAGAGGCAGGAAGGAGGTGGGAGGAGGGAGGAGCAGCTCTGATGCAGTGGACAGAGGGAAGCCCTGGGGCAGCTCCAGGAGGGGCTCCATGAGGGGTTTGTCCAGAGACAGAGAGTCCAGAGCAGGCGGCTGCAGAGGGACCTCCAGCCCCAGAGGTAAGAGAGGGCCCTGCTGTCCCAGCAGCAGGGAGGCCATGAGCAGAGCCTGCAGCCCGGGCTTCTCACAGCCCCCCCCCAGGTCCCCCTCCTGCCCTGGTGGGGGGCTGCCGGCCGGGGGGAGGGGGTTCAGACCCAGGAGGTTCAGAGGGAGCTCCCCCTGAGCCGCACTGAGCAGCGGCAGCAGAGGGAACAGAGGGCTCAGTTTGTGCTCGTGAGACAGCAGTAACTGTTCAGGCTGCTCCAGGCCCGGGGGGGTCTGAGGGGGGGGCCACAGGCCTCCGAGCGGCAGAGAGGCCAGGACTGCAGGGTCCAGCAGAGAGGGCAGGCTCCCACTGGACAGAAGCTGTAGCAGCTGCTCCTGGTTCATGAAGGGAAAGGCCTCAGCCAGAGGAGAAGGAGCCGAGTCTCCCCCAGGTAGGGTCTGAGGGAGAGTGGGGGGGCTGGTCCTCTGAGCTGTAGCCTGAGGGAGAGTGGGGGGGCTGGTCCTCTGAGCTGTAGCTTGAGGGAGAGCGGGGGGGCTGGTCTTCTGAGCTGTAGCTTGAGGGAGAGCGGGGGGGCTGGTCCTCTGAGCTGTAGCTTGAGGGAGAGCGGGGGGGCTGGTCCTCTGAGCTGTAGCTTGAGGGAGAGCGGGGGGGCTGGTCCTCTGAGCTGTAGCTTGAGGGAGAGCGGGGGGGCTGGTCCTCTGAGCTGTAGCTTGAGGGAGAGCGGGGGGGCTGGTCCTCTGAGCTGTAGCTTGAGGGAGAGCGGGGGGGCTGGTCCTCTGAGCTGTAGCCTGAGGGAGAGCGGGGGGGCTGGTCAGCGCAGAGTTCTTTCGGTCCAAGCACACAGATTCTTCAAATCCTGGAACACAGAGGATCTATAGCATCAACACACACACACACAAACACACACACACACACAGACACACAAACACACAGACACAGACACAGACACACACACACACACACACACACACAGACACACAAACACACAGACACAGACACACACAGACACACACAAACACAAGACACACCCACAAACACAGACACCGGCACAGAAACAGACACACACACACACACACACACAGACAAAGACACACACACACACACACACACACACCTGTGCACTGGGGGGAAGACGTGTGGTGGTGGTTGTGGGCGGAGTCCCCCTGGGCCTGGGCCAGCAGGGCCAGCACGTGGGTGCTGAGGTCCAGAGGTTTGGGAGAGCCGCCCGGACACTGAGACTCCTGCAGAGGAGACTGGGTGAAGGAGTGAGAGGAGTGAGAGGAGGACATGGGAGAGCGTCTGTGGGGGGGGCTGGGCTGAGGCTGGAGCAGTGAGAGGTTAGTGTCAGTCTGTCGGTAAGTGCTGGGGAACAGCGGAGCTTTGTTCAGGAGTTTGTTAGTGTCTGTGGCGTCTGCAGCGTTCTGGGCGTTCTGGGCGTTCTGCACGCTGAGCAGGTGGAGTAGAGCTGACAGGGGCTGTGTAGGAGGCTCCAGTGTCAGAGGAGAGCCTGTGGTGAAGTCCAGCGCCTCCGTCTGAGTCCTGCTCCTGGGGAGCAGCGCTGAGGTAGAGCAGGGGCGCGGCGTGGACAGGTTCATGGGACAAGACTCTGCCCCACGCACCGCAGGGGGTCTCCTCTGACGCTTCCTGTGCGGAGCGCCACGCTCGCCTTGAGGACGCCCTGGGGGAGGCCCTGAGGGAGGGGATAAAGTGCTGTTTGTAACCTTGTGCTGAGGGGGGGGGCTGCCCACATGTGGGGTCTGTCCTGGGACCTGTCCTGGGGGGAGCTGAGCGAGCACCTGGGCTTTGGCGGCCGCAGAGAGCAGGCTGCTGGCGGGGAAGGAGGTCTTCCCGTGGTTGTTGAAGTGCGCAGGGGCGTAGGGCAGGGGCTTCTGGGACAGGGGCTGCAGACTTTGGCTCGACTGCTTCAACTGCTCCAGGACGCCCTCCAGCCTGTGTTTGTGGAAGTGCGTGAGTGGAGAGGGTGAGAGGGGGGAGGGCGAGAGGGGGGAGGGCGGTTTGGGAGACGCAGACTTCCTCCTGGAGCTCGCCTCCTGCTCTGAGGGGGAGGATAGTCTGGAGTGGGGGGAGGCGGCCGGGGGAGAGGAGAGCAGGTAGAAGCGTGGGGAGCCGGGCGTGTCAGGGGGGTGTGGGGACCTGTAGCCGGAGCAGGGGGGGGGCAGGCGTCTGTCAGAGCAGCCGTTCTGTGTGGGGGGGAAGGGGAGGCGGCGTGGAGAGGGAGGGCTGAGGAGGGAGCGAAGAGGAGCAGGGGGCGCTCTGGGATCGTCTCCTCGCTCCCTGTGAAGCCTCCTCATACGACCACTGCTCTCCTCTGAGGACACACAACAAACACACAACTGTAAGGATGTGTGACGCCAACACACACAATACACACACAGAGGTGGGAGGAGTGGGGCAGCACTCACTTGGGAGGAGGTGGGAGGAGTAGGGCAGCACTCACCTGGGAGGAGGTGGGAAGAGTAGGGAAGCACTCACCTGGGAGGAGGTGGGAGGAGTAGGGCAGTGGACACTCACCTGGGAGGAGGTGGGAGGAGTAGGGCAGCACTCACCTGGGAGGAGGTAGGAGGAGTAGGGCAGCACTCACCTGGGAGGAGGTAGGAGGAGTGTAGGGCAGCACTCACCTGGGAGGAGGTGGGAGGAGTAGGGCAGCACTCACCTGGGAGGAGGTAGGAGGAGTAGGGCAGCACTCACCTGGGAGGAGGTAGGAGGAGTAGGGCAGCACTCACCTGGGAGGAGGTGGGAGGAGTGGGGCAGCACTCACCTGGGAGGAGGTGGGAGGAGTAGGGCAGCACTCACCTGGGAGGAGGTAGGAGGAGTAGGGCAGCACTCACCTGGGAGGAGGTAGGAGGAGTAGGGCAGCACTCACCTGGGAGGAGGTGGGAGGAGTGGGGCAGCACTCACCTGGGAGGAGGTGGGAGGAGTAGGGCAGCACTCACCTGGGAGGAGGTAGGAGGAGTAGGGCAGCACTCACCTGGGAGGAGGTAGGAGGAGTAGGGCAGCACTCACCTGGGAGGAGGTAGGAGGAGTAGGGCAGCACTCACCTGGGAGGAGGTGGGAGGAGTAGGGCAGCACTCACCTGGGAGGAGGTGGGAGGAGTAGGGCAGCACTCACCTGGGAGGAGGTAGGAGGAGTAGGGCAGCACTCACCTAGGAGGAGGTGGGAAGAGTAGGGCAGCACTCACCTGGGAGGAGGTGGGTGGAGTAGCGCAGCACTCACCTGGGAGGAGGTAGGGGGAGTAGGGCAGCACTCACCTGGGAGGAGGTAGGGGGAGTAGGGAGCACTCACCTAGGAGGAGGTGGGAAGAGTAGGGCAGCACTCACCTGGGAGGAGGTGGGAGGAGTAGGGCAGCACTCACCTGGGAGGAGGTGGGAGGAGTAGGGCAGCACTCACCTGGGAGGAGGTAGGGGGAGTAGGGCAGCACTCACCTGGGAGGAGGTAGGGGGAGTAGGGCAGCACTCACCTAGGAGGAGGTGGGAAGAGTAGGGCAGCACTCACCTGGGAGGAGGTGGGTGGAGTAGGGCAGCACTCACCTGGGAGGAGGTGGGAGGAGTAGGGCAGCACTCACCTGGGAGGAGGTGGGAGGAGTAGGGCAGCACTCACCTGGGAGGAGGTGGGAGGAGTAGGGCAGCACTCACCTGGGAGGAGGTGGGAGGAGTAGGGCAGCACTCACCTGGGAGGAGGTGGGAGGAGTAGGGCAGCGGTGAGTGCATGCTGCGGCGCAGGGCTGCCATGGCGACCACTTTCCGGCGGTGGTTGCAGAGTTTGGTCATGTCCTGATCCACTTTCCCCAGAGGACCACTGCACTGCTCCACCTTCACCTCCACCGCAAAGCTAAACACCTGCAACCAGGAGGAGCAGGAGGAGCGAGGGGAGAGAGGAGAGAGTTACAGAGAGGAGCGAGGGGAGAGAGGAGAGAGTTACAGAGAGGAGCGAGGGGAGAGAGGAGAGAGAGGAGAGAGTTACAGAGAGGAGCAGGAGGAGCGAGGGGAGAGAGTTACAGAGAGGAGCAGGAGGAGCGAGGGGAGAGAGTTACAGAGAGGAGCAGGAGGAGCGAGGGGAGAGAGGAGAGAGTTACAGAGAGGAGCAGGAGAAGCGAGGAGAGAGAGGAGAGAGTTACAGAGAGGAGCGAGGGGAGAGAGGAGAGAGAGGAGCAGGAGGAGCGAGGAGAGTTACAGAGAAGAGCAGGAGAAGCGAGGAGAGAGAGGAGAGGAGAGAGAGGAGAGAAGAGAGGAGAGAGAGGAGAGAGAGAGGAGAGAGAGAGAGGAGAGAGAGGAGAGAGACAAGAGAGAGAAGAGAGAGAGAAGAGAGAGAGGAGAGAGAGGAGAGAGAGAGGAGAGAAGAGAGAGAGGAGAGAGAGGAGAGAGAGAGGAGAGAGAGGAGAGAGAGGAGAGAGAGGAGAGAGAGGAGAGAGAGGAGAGAGAGGAGAGAGAGAGAGGAGAGAGGAGAGAGAGAGGAGAGAGAGGAGAGAGAGGAGAGAGAGGAGAGAGGAGCAGAACCTTGTGGAGAACCAGGGGACACTCCAGGCCACACTTGCAGGTACCATCGGTCAGCAGGTAGGCCTTCACCTCCTCCAGGGAGGACAGGGAGGCACCACTGGGACTGAGGAGGAGGAGGAGAACAATACTGAGAACACAGACCTGTGATTCACTCTCATACTGAGAAACCAAATAAGTAATAATACATAATAGGTAATAATATGTAATAATCCATAATAATGCATCCATCCATCCATTTTCTTCCGCTTCATCCGTTGCCGAGTCGCGGGGGCAGCAGTCTGAGCAGAGACGCCCAGACTTCCCTCTCACACACTTCCTCCAGCTCGTCCAACCCCGAGGAGTTCCCAGGCCAGCTGAGAGACAGTCCCTCTGTATCCTGGGTCTCCTCCTGGTCTCCTCCCTCTGTGTCCTGGGTCTCCTCCTGGTCTCCTCCCTCTGTGTCCTGGGTCTCCTCCTGGTCTCCTCCCTCTGTGTCCTGGGTCTCCTCCTGGTCTCCTCCCTCTGTGTCCTGGGTCTCCTCCTGGTCTCCTCCCTCTGTGTCCTGGGTCTCCTCCTGGTCTCCTCCCTCTGTGTCCTGGGTCTCCTCCTGGTCTCCTCCCTCTGTGTCCTGGTCTCCTCCTGGTCTCCTCCCTCTGTGTGCTGGGTCTCCTCCTGGTCTCCTCCCTCTGTGTCCTGGGTCTCCTCCTGGTCTCCTCCCTCTGTGTGCTGGGTCTTACCCGGGGCCTCCTCCCGGTGCAGCTCCTCTATCTCTGAGGGAGCAGCAGCTCTACTCCAAGCTCCTCCTGTGTGACTGAGCTCCTCTATCTCTGAGGGAGCAGCAGCTCTACTCCGAGCTCCTCCTGTGTGACTGAGCTCCTCTATCTCTGAGGGAGCAGCGGTTCTACTCTGCGGAGGAAGCTCATTTTGACAAGAGGTGAGGGAGGGAAGCTCTGACGGCAGACGCTGCTCCCTCTTCACCACAACAGTCTGATACAGCTCTGACTGCAGACGCTGCTTTCTCTTCACCACAACAGTCTGATACAGCTCTGACTGCAGACGCTGCTCCCTCTTCACCACAACAGTCCGATACAGCTCTGACTGCAGACGCTGCTCCCTCTTCACCACAACAGTCTGATACAGCTCTGACTGCAGACGCTGCTCCCTCTTCACCACAACAGTCCGATACAGCTCTGACTGCAGACGCTGCTCCCTCTTCACCACAACAGTCTGATACAGCTCTGACTGCAGACGCTGCTCCCTCTTCAACACAACAGTCCGATACAGCTCTGACTGCAGACGCTGCTCACTCTTCACCACAACGGTCAGATACAGCTCTGACTGCAGACGCTGCTCCCTCTTCAACACAACAGTCCGATACAGCTCTGACTGCAGACGCTGCTCACTCTTCACCACAACGTTCCGATACAGCTCTGACTGCAGACGCTGCTCCCTCTTCAACACAACAGTCCGATACAGCTCTGACTGCAGACGCTGCTCCCTCTTCACCACAACGGTCTGATACAGCTCTGACTGCAGACGCTGCTCACTCTTCACCACAACGGTCAGATACAGCTCTGACTGCAGACGCTGCTCCCTCTTCAACACAACAGTCCGATACAGCTCTGACTGCAGACGCTGCTCACTCTTCACCACAACGGTCCGATACAGCTCTGACTGCAGACGCTGCTCCCTCTTCACCACAACGGTCCGATACAGCTCTGACTGCAGACGTTGCTCCATCTTCACCACAACGGTCCGATACAGCTCTGACTGCAGACACTGCTCCCTCTTCACCACTATGGTCCGATACAGCTCTGACTGCAGACGCTGCTCCCTCTTCACCACAACAGTCCGATACAGCTCTGACTGCAGACGCTGCTCCCTCTTCACCACTATGGTCCGATAC